AAAAAAAAAAAAAAAAAAAAAAACAAAGAAAAGTCAAATGATAAATAAGTTTCCTATGCTTTAGTTTCTCTATTACAAAGTGAAAAGAATCAGATAAGGTGACTGCTAAGATCCATCTAACTCTCCTTTCTTCAATAGATTTAGTACCTTTAGTATCTTTAATGTTTACTTAATCATCAGTCTTCCAAAACAAATATATTTTTTTCTTACCTAAAAAGCATAAAAACTGTAGCAGGCATCAAGAATATTTCATTACAGGCAATGAATTTCAGAATATTTTGTTGATTAGCACTTAATTTGTCCAAGACGGATCTCAGCAGAGGTAAACTATTTGAACCCTTTGCCTAAAATAAAAGACAACAAACATCAGAAATAATGAAACATTTTTGATCACTCAAGTATTTTCCTTCTTTGGATAAACAGCATACCCAAAAGGCAATACAACCAAAAGCCAAATATTTGGAAACGATGGTATAAAAGTTTATAAACCACTTGAGAATTTCCTGATTTATTTTGTGATTTTAAAGAATTTAAAAAGAAACCCCTTTAGTACTAAAATAGTTTTCGTTCTTAGATTTTTTTATTCTTTTCTATTTGTTTTGGAGACAGAGTCTCACTATGTAACCCTCAGTAGAGTGCTGTGGCACCACAGCTTACTGCAACCTCAGACTCTTGGACTTAAGTGTTTCTCTTGCCTCGGCCTCTCAAATAGCTGGGACTACAGGCACCTACCACGATGCCCGGCTATTTTTTGTTGCAGTTGTCGTTGTTTAGCAGGCCCGGGATGGGTTCGAACCCTCCAGCCTTGGTGTATGTAGCTGGCACTGTAAACACTGTCCTATGGGTACTCAGCCAATATATTATTTTTCTTAAGATTATATTATTTCACAAAAAGGTAGTGGTTCTTTCTCTCCAATCAAGACAAAATCTAAGCAGTAATACAGTTAAAATATCTATGACTCCTAAGCTAACTAATGGTAGGAAACACAAAGTCTAATTACTGCTACAACAAAAAATTGTAGGAAAAAAGAAAAAGGCTAACAGAGCATAAAGCTGGATATTTTAATTCTAATTTCAGTGTTTGACTGCATAGGCAGTAAATTTATCTGGCATGCTGCCGTTAGGCTTACTATCCCCCAAACCAACAATTAAAAAAATTTTCAGGAAAGCAGTGGTTCTAAATGCTAGTATAAAGAAATTCAGCGCACTCTGGCTTAGCACCTATAGCTCTGTGAGTAGGGTGCTGGCCACATATACAGAAGCTGGAGGGTTCGAGCCTGGCCTGGGCCTGCTAAACAACAATGACAGATGCAACCGAAAAACAGCTGGGCATTGTGGTGGGTGCCTATAGTCTCAGCTACTTGGGAGGCTGAGGCAAGAGAATCGCTTAAGCCCAAGACTTTGAGGTTGCTGTGAGCTGTGATGCTATGGTAGTCTACTGAGGGTGACATAATGAAACTCCGTCTCCAAAAAAAAAAAAGAAAGAAATTCCGCACACTCTAATTATCTGGTATATTAGAATTAAACACTGACAGAACAAGCGACTTCTGACAACTCATCAAATTGAAGAGATATAAATAAAATAATTAAGAGATCTAGTTCAAACTTCAAAAATTCTGGACATTGAGGTTAATTTCAAGTGCAATCGTTTGTCTACAAAATATACTAGTTTGTGAAACTTCAACAATAAAAAAAACTTAAACTTTCGAAGCACTAATTTATAACAAGTTTGCAAGAAAGAGACTTTTTGTGATAAATGGCAAAATGTCTTAGAAATCAAATTCACGTCAAAGATCTATAATCCAGGAATTTTACTTACATCAAGGACCTTTTTCGTATATGTAGCAGCATGAAGCAAAGAGAATAACAAGACTGGGAAAATACTCACTGAAGAACACAATTAAGGAAAACATTTAAAAGTCATCAAGTACTCTGCAAAACGTGTGAGGTACTACGCCCAATCCACAGATTTGAAACAACATCTGCTAAAATAAATTTGGTAGAATGGCTTTTGTTTTACTGATACACTTTAAAACAAGTCAAGCTTTGCTAACTGCAAAGAAATGATTTTATTTTATAAAACTCAGTTTGATGAAAAACACTAATGTTAAAAAAAAAGTTTCATTTACTTCTAGTAACTGATAAAACCTCATAAACACTTGCTAAAGTGAACTGAAATCTAGGTTACCTCAAAGGGTTAAATGCAGCTTTTAACCCCACAATGGCCTTCCTGGCCACTCTAACTTAGCCTTCAACGTTATATAAATAACCTAGTATTTCCCAAACAGACCGCAACTGCTGAGGAAAGTCTGAGGTAAGATTTAAAGAGTAGTTCCCAAATGTTTTTCAACTACAGATCTTTTATTCCTTTTTGTAGAAGACCCCATTATTGAGTCACTGTATCAATCAAGCTGTTAACAGTTATGTTTTTAATTTATAATCACAGCTGGGCAGGTGCAGTGGCTCACCGTTGTAATCCTAGCACACCAGGAGGCCTAGGTGGGTGGATTGCCTGAGCTTACTAGTTTGAGACCAAGCTGAGCAAGAGCGAGACCTCATCTCTAAAAATAGCCAGGCATTGTAGCAGGCACCTATAGTCCCAGCTATTCAGGAGCCTGAGGCAAGAGAATCGCTTGAGCTCAAGAATTGGAGATTGCTATGAGCTGAGTATGTGCCACGGCACTCTACTGAAGGCAACAAGTGAGACTGTCTCCAGAAAAAAAAATTATAATAAAAAAGACAATGCACATTTGGCCTTATAGTCAGTTGAAAGTCTCGTCAGTTTAATTAGAGGCACAATTCAGAGAATCCTTATCTCTTAGCCCAACTGTCCTGGCTTTATGCCACAAAAATATATACAGTTTTCATTTAACTTTTTGAAAAACAGAAACTGCTCTAAAGCTCCATTTTTCACCCCAATTTCTGCCAGGTTGATTAAAAAAAAAAAAAACCCGTCAAGTATTTCCACAAAATGATAAAGAGACTGTTAGCCAATCATGAATGGCAAAAATACTTTTCCTAAAAATATTAGCAGTTTCTTTCTTTCTTTCTTTCTTTTTTTTGAGACAGAGTCTCACTATGCTGCCCTTGGTACAGTGCCATGCCATCCTAGCTCACAGCAACCTCAAACTCTTGAGCTTAAGTGATTCGCTTGCCTTAGCCTCACAGTAGCTGGGACCACAGGGGCCCCCACAATGCCCGGCTGTTTTTTCATTATTATTGTCATTCTTGTTTAGCAGGCCCTGGCTGGGTTTGAACCCCCAGCCCTGGTGCATGTGGCTGGTGCCCTAACCACTGAGCTATTGGAGCCAAGCCAATACTAGCAGTTTCTAAGAAATCAACCATTATATTTTTCAATGCTAAACTGAAGGCCTGATATGAAGGATGTGATAAGAGCCATTAACAAAATCTGAGTATCAAATTCATTATAACCATCCTCATTTAGAACCCAAACATTCCTAGTTTCCAACTGGCAAACAAAAAAAGTGTTAGGAGAATTCTAACACTTTTGTGTGTATTTGTGTAGAGACAGAGTCTTATTCTATCACCCTTGGTAGAGTGTCATGGCATCACTCACAACCTCCAACTCCTGGACTTAGGTGATTCTCTTTCCTCAGCCTCTGGAGTAGCTGGGACTACAGGCGCCTGCCACATGCCCTGCAATTTTTTTGTTGCAATTTGGCCACAGTCAGGTTTGAACCTGCCATCCTCGGTATATGGGGCCGGCGCCGGTGTCCTACCCACTGAGCCACAGGCACTGCCCAGAATTCTAATTCTTCTAATAGACTTCTTCAAATTAATATCCTGACCAATTCTTTCCCATACACACACACAGTTTTATACTTTTTAAGCTGATAAAAGCTAAAACCCCCTCTCTTAAAGTCACTGTCAACTTCTGTTGTTGCTTAAATAATTCAGTTTAAATTCTGACATATCCAGACTTGAAGCCTGATTTAGTAAGAGGCAGTATCAGGTAGTGTAAACAAAACCCTCACCTGGGAGTCAAGATACCTGGGTTCCACACCTGCCTCTGTAACTAACCTCATTTTCCTAGGCCAAGTTCCATCCTCTGTCAAATGAGTAAGTACAGATCAAAGCAAGAGCTTTCTAACGAGTTATTTGTCTCTAGCACTCTACAGGTCACAAATCTTTGATAAAAAAATTCACTACCTTAGCTTTCAAAGTTACTTTGAACTACAAATTTAGAAAAAAGATGAAAAGCCTGCAATTTAAACCCTAAGTACCTATCACTGATAAAGCAATGACAACAGGTCACCTCTGTAAGAACAAAGATCAGAACACACTTTGTAATATTACTTGGGCCCACCTTTGTTACTATAATACCTGACTATTTTAGGAACCAGATTAGCATTTCTTGCCAATGATTAGTTTAGGCTATTCTGCTTTCCTGAACTTAAGGAACGTGAAAACTTTAATCTTCAACACTCCCATGAAAGAGGCCAGCACATAATTCACTATATAGAAAAGGCAGCGAGTCTGTTTTCACTGGTCCTGAGTATCACTTAGCATGACCTCAGGATTCACCCAACAAGAGATCAGTACTGATGGAGTACTCAATCTACTCTATATTAAATACCTGAAAAATACACTTTCTGTCATTTCTCTTTCTCCTGCCAAAGAAATTTTAAGCCACTAAAAGGCACACCAAAAATCTCCAAATAATTTCCCATCATAACTCAGAAAGGCAAGAATTCACCTGCCTTTCACATTAATGAATGTAACTAACAAATGCAGGTCAGTACAATGATACACTGAACAGATGCCTAATTATCATTTATCGTTATGGTACAAAAATCATTTAATGAGTTTTACCTAAAATGAACAAATACAAATTATGATGGGACACAACAGACCCATGCACTGAAACATGAAAAAATTATCCTTGTATTTCAAATGACTTTACCCTGGTAAAGCCAGGAATTTAAACAAAATCTTCATATACTGTATAGATATGTATTACCCATCTACAGACAGTAACCATTAAGTGTAGATTAGGTCAGGCTTTTAAGTTGAAAAGACCCTGTCAGCATTACGACGTATTAGCCAAGGTGTGTGTATGTGCTGACCTCTTATTTTTGAAAAGGACACTCTGTATCCTTCCCATTAAACGTGTATGACACAGCAATGTTTTCACAGGGCTGCAAAGAGTATATGTCAAATTCCCACATATTAACACATATTAACAAAATAGATACTCAAGAAATTTCAGTTTCCTGACTTATAAAAATCAATTAAAATTTTTGATACTTTACCAATGTAGGTATTCTCAAAATAGGTTAATAGTCTTAGAGAAATTATTTTATTGTGCTTTATGTTATATATAATTGTAACACAAATATTCAAAAGCTGTTACAGCAACACTTTTTAAAGCACAAAATAATTTCTAGAGAAACCACCTATAGGGGAAAAAATAACAAAAAAAAATTAAGTTCAGGAAATACTGTTAACTCTTTTATAGTTTCACAATGCACATCACAACATCAAAGGCTCTAAGGTAAGTCTTCCTATTTAAAGATGTTTAACCTCGTATTTCCCAAACATACTGGGCTGTACATCTTCCTCTCTTCCTTTCCCTCCTTTTGGAATAATCCCCATTATCCCACAACACACTTTTGAAATGTGAAAACATGAATTCCAAATGAGTTATTTAATTCTCATTAGCTCCAGGGATTAACCATGTGTCCTATCTTCTACTCTATCTATAGCAAATTTAATTTCTTTTTATTTATTAATTATGCCATTCCCTGCCGAAATAATTTTATTTTTATTTTTGAGACAGACTCTCACTTTGTCACCCTTGGTAGAATGCCGTGGCATCACAGCTCACAGCAACCTCAAACTCTTGGGCTCAAGCGATTCTCTTGCCTCAGCCTTCCATGTAGCTGCGACTACACGGCCCAGCTATTTTTAGAGATGAGGTCTTGCTCTGGCTCAGGCTGGTCTCAAAGCTCAGGCAATCCACCTGCCTCTGCCTCCCATAGTGCTGGGATTATAGGTGTAAGTCACTGCGCCTGGCCTTGAAATAATTTCTATTTTTTTTTGAGACACAGTTTCACTATGTTGTCCTTGATAGAGTGCCATGGTGTCACAGCTCACAGCAACCTCAAACTCCTGGGCTCAAGCAATTCTCCCGCCTCAGCCTCCCAAGTAGCTAGGACTACAGGCATCCGCCACAACACTTGGCCTTTTTTTTATTGCAGTTGTCACTGTTCTTTACCTGGCCTTAGCTGGAGTTTGAACCCACTAGCCTGGGTGTATGGGTATGTGGTCGGCACCCTGCCCACTGAGCTATGGGTGCCACCCTTGAAATAATTTCTTGATTAATTTTCATTTGTTTCTAGCTCACTGGGAGTTAAAGAACTGGGGACCTCTCTTTTTTAAAGGAAGACATTTGTACACATTCCTAAGGTGATATGAATTAAATGAAAGAAAATTTTAAATATTATAGTGAGTTCTGCATAGCCTTGCTTTGAATATGAATTTTAAACTTATCTATTCTAGTAGAGAAGCTTACAACAGGCAGGAACAAAGACAAATTTTAAATTTCCCAAATTAACTCTTCAAAGTTTAGATTTCACATCTAAGAGTCAGAAATTCTCACACACTCAAATAACGTGCTAAAAACAAACCCAGGCTTCATGGAATACTCTCATTGCTGAAATAATCATTAGAGACCTCCTATAAAGGATACTTGTAACAGGGTAGGAATTGACAAAGATGAGTGAATACAACAGGTAGTGGCAGCTGTCCTCTAACAAAGCCTGGGCCAGGAATGCTCTGCTTAACTGGAAATGTGGTAATCTTTGATGTAGCCTCAGAGCACTGGTAAGAGCATTTGCCAGCAAAGCACGTTGGTAAAAGCTTGCTGCTTCATGCAACCTGCAAATTACCAGAGGAGAGGTTATCATGAGACATAAACAACTACCACGTCTCTTCCTCCTGTGTGAATTGCATCATAATTGCACAATACCTAAATCATTTAATTGTCAATAGAAAAAAATTACTTGAACTTACTCTACCTTCTACCTTTTCTTTTTTTTGAGACAGAGTCTCGACAGTTGCCCAGG